ACGCGCGTCGCGTCCAGCCCGGGGCGGAGGGAGGCTGCAGAGGGCGGCGCAGTGGACAGCCTGGCCGGCCGGGGACTACTTTCTACATCTGGCCCCTGGGCCCCGCACGGCGAGGTCGGCGCTGCTGGCGGAGGGACACGCTGCGATCGCTCGGGCGACCCTGGGGACAGGGGGAGGGCCCCGCCGGACAATGCACCTGGGGGTCAGGCCCCCGCCCCTCAGCCTGCGCGCCACGGCCGGCCACCGGGCCACAAAGGCCAATCCTCCTGGCCGCGGCCAGCCCCCCGGGGCCCTTCTCCCTCCTGCCGGCCAGTTGAGGATTCTGCACGGAGGAGGGGGGTGGGGTGGAGGGATGGTGTTGAGAGATGTGGAAAGGCCGGAGACTTCTCCCCTGATGGCCCCCTGCCCATCCCCCTGCTTTGCTCAGCCGCCCAGGCCCTGTTCAGGGAAGTCCAGTTCCCACTTCTGAGGCTTGTCAGCGCCCCTGGAGGCATCCTATGGCGACACCCCCCCCCCACCTCTACCACCCACATTTGGAGACTTCTTATCATCCCTGGTCCCATCAGATACAGCCGTCCGTGGCTTCAAAATCATCTAAGAGAGCCCTAAAATTAGCAGTTACCTTTGGGGGAGAATTTTTAACTCTGCTTCAAGTTAATTAAGTTTTTAATGTGTGAGAACTAAGTGCATAAAGGCCCTTCCTTGTCCTGGGAGCAGAGGCGAGATCAGAGGATATCCAGAGCTTGATGTGCCAGGCCAGACTTTGGTGGGTTACCTGCTTAAAATTTAGGCTGATGAAAGGAGACACCAACGATGGGAATTTGTTCACAGCTCTTGAAATTAATTAAGGCTAACCAGAGGAGTCGAAACGTACATTTAAAGAGTGTGAACAGGGGGGCTACCCCTTCGCCTTTACACGTGGATTAGCGTTTGCTAATCCCGATCTAAATCTTTGGCACATGACGAGGGCACAGGCTAAAAGCTAACTTTAATTAAAGCCGCTGACGGAAATCTAGCTTTTGTCGCTAACTGCCTTTAGCAAGTTTCAGGAATCCCTCTGGTGGCGCGGGAGAGGGTGGAAGCAGGAGGGGAGGAGAGTGGTTTTGGAAATCCATTAGGACCCCCGCACTTCTTACCCTCAAACTCACTGAAAGTCAGTCTGCTTTGCAGTTCATTTTAACCCCATGTAAAACAGCAGTACCCTTGGCTCTGGTGCCTCCAGATCCGTATTATAATACAGATGCGTTTGAACAATTTCTAAACCTCAGAATAAACATTCGTGGAAAAGGAAAAAATTGTTTTACGGGGTACTAAAATGCAGTACTGCAGAAATCTTTTAAATATCCGGTCATTGAAATTTTCAGAAAATGAGGTGCTTAACTATTGGCTTTTAAACTACATTCCTGTTTGGATTGTTTTGAGTCAGGGTCTCACTTTGTAGTCCAGACTAACCTGGACATCACTTGTATGTGGTCCGGGCTGGCACGGAACAGTCTGGCTAGGTTTTCCTTTATTGTATGATTATTTCCTTCCCCCTCTTGATTTGGTATTCTTGGTCCCAAGCCACGGAAAGTGCTCCTGTTTCCTGGATACGAACTGCTAATAAGATGGTTTCTTTCAGTTACACCCGGGAACCTTATGACTCGAACCTGGTATTAGCCTTGAGGAAGGCTATTTGCAGTGAGTCCAAATGGAAGGGGAGGATGTAATACATTAAACAACCTGTTGAATCAAGTCTAGCGTGTATTAACCATACCATACTGGACAGGAGTAGAGTTCCTCCGACCATATATGTTATGCCGTGTTGTAAGACTTGTGGTCTGTGCAGCAGTTTTCATAAACATTCATTGGCCTCGCGTGGTAAACCTAGGAGGTAAATAAATAGAGGTGTTGGGAGGAAAAGGGTTTATCACCTCACAGATAACAGTACATCACTGAGGGAAGTCAGGACCGGAAACTGGAGGCAGGATGCAGAGCCTATTGAGGGGTACTACTTCCTGGCTTGTGTGTATATAATGTATATTGGTATTATATATGTATATATAATGTATATTGATATGATATATGTATATAATCTCCCAGAACCACCAGCCCAGTGAGCTGGCCCCTACCACATCAATCCTCAGTTAAGAAAATGCACAAAGGTTTGCCCACAGGCCAATATGATGTGGGCGTTTTCTCAGTTGAGTTTCCCTCTCCCAAATGACTCTAGCTTGTTCCAGATTGACATAAATTAGCCATTGCAGATGTTCATATTAGTAGTATTTCCTGTTTAATTTAAAGAAATGGATTTAGCCAAGGTCACCCATTAAGAGGTGATTACTAGGGGCCAGGGTTCATGTTTTCTAATTTCCAAGTTTTACCTGTTTTTTGTTTGTTTGTTTGTTTGTTTGTTTTATAGAATCCTCTCTGCCTTTAAACTTGTCTTTTTAAGTAGTTCTTCTCGTACTAAAGTCTGAACCTCAGGTCCCCGTTTTGCTGGGCAAACACTCTACCATTGAGCTATGTGCCCCCCATCCCCCATCTCCCCCCCACACCGCCTTTTGTCTTTTCTATTTGTATCATTTTTAATACTTTATTTTTAAGTATGTATGGGTGTCTTTGTGTGGTTGTGGGCTCAAGAGTGCAGGTGCCCATGGAGGCCAGAAAAAGGGATTAGATCCCCTAGAGCTGGATTTACTTTGGTTGTGAGCCTCCTGTTGTGGGTCATGTGAAGCGAACTCAGGTCCTCCCGAAAAGCTGTATGTGGTTTTAACTGTTGAGCTATCTCTCGTTTTATTTTTGGGACAGGGTCTTATGTAGCAGAGACCAGCCTTGAACTCTAGAACTTCCTGCGTTCACCTCCCAAGGGCTAGGATTACAGGTGTGTACCGGTTTATTCTGTGGTTGGGGATCAAACCCAGGGCCTGGAGCATGGAGGCAAGTCTCCACCAATTGACCTCTGTCCCCAGTCTCCTTTGCCTACTTAAAAACAAAACAAACAAGCCAGGAGGTTGGTGGCGCACGCCTTTAATCCCAGCACTCAGGAGGCAGAGCCAGGTGGATCTCTGTGAGTTCGAGGACAGCCTGGTCTACAGAACTTGTTCCTCCAGGACAGGCAGGGCTACACAGAAACCCTGTCTCCGGGAACCAAAAACCAAACCAAACAAACAGAAAACCTATTCCGATGAGAACGTACAGCGTATTTCTTTGAATAACACAGCACGTTATTCAAAGAAATTGCTCTCACATATCACTACTCTTGCGTCATGTGCTGAGACCCATAGCTTCTGAAGAGCTTTCAACCCAGCTCTTGAAATGACCCGTCCTTCCCATCCAGAAGCACGTGTTATACACACTAGACGACACCACAGTGGTAACGCCTGGTTTGGGGTTGCTGACCCACTCAAGTTCAGATTTCAATATTGTGTAAACAAGTTACTGCCGTTCTCAAACCTAATCTATTTAATGGGAAGGAGGATAAGCCAGTGGGCTACAGGGATAGACTAGCCTATACGGAGGGCGCCTGCTCCCCAGCCCTGTAAGTCATTGCATGGTTACTGTTTGGTAAGCACACAGTCCCCCAGTAATGACAAGTCTCCATCCTTTCAGGCAGGCCTGGTTTGGGGAAGTTCATTTCTGAGAATCAAATCTGATTGACTTGGAGATGACTTTAAAAATAAAATCCTCCCTCTTGAGGAGTGCCTGTGTGGTTCTGAAGGAGTTAAGACTTGCCTGGGTGTCCAGCCTCCTAAGGTTTTCCATTGAGAACCAGGCTTATCAAGACAACTGCTTACACCTTGTTTTACTTTCCTGTTTGGAAACAAGGTCACTGATTTTCAGACCGAAAGAGCAGGTCGTATATACTGAAATTAAAGAACAGAAGGGGCCAGGGAAATGGCCCAGTTGGTAAAGAGCTATACAACCGTGAGAGGAGAGGGGAGGGGAGGGGAG